ACCCTACTATAAACAACTCATTTTAAGAGTTCTTTGAGTTTGTTTGAGGTATATTGTATTTTTATTGTATGTTTATTAATTTGCAATATAAACTTGTATTTACTGAAAACTATTCTGATTCAACCCCAAAAAGAAAGCACTGGTTTTTTTTTAATCACAAGAGCACTTTCAAAAGTTCACTGCTGAGAGTCAACAAATATTTACTCATTTCTTATTTCCCAAATACACAGAGTAAATAGGTTAGACTTTCTCCTCAAACTATTTAAACTCAACTTCCTTGAAGTATAATTGGTATCACCTGGGCCAGAATCACATGAAGTCCTTATTCAAAGGGCAGATAACTAGAGTGGACCCCAAATCAACTGAATTTGAGATGCCAAAGACACTCCCATAGTGGCATTTCAAGAAGCTCTCCAGGCCAGGAGTGGTGGCACATGCCTGTAATCCCAGCACTAGAGAGGCTGAGACAGAAGGATCGCTAAGAGTCGAGGACAACCTGGGCTACACAGTGAGTTCAAGGCCAGCAGGATAGTGAGACATCATCTCAAAATAAAAAAAAAAAAAAAGAGAAGTAGCTCTCCAGGTGATCCCCAGGCAGGTGATCGTCAGAACATACATTCATTCTCCAATATTCTAGTGGGAAATAAGAGATAACTCAGTAAACAAGGATAAACATTTTGAAAGCCAGGCATGATGGCTGTAATCCTAGCACTCTCGAGGCTGAGGTTGGAGGATCACAATTAAGGCCAGCCTACAGAGCAAGACCATCTCAAAAAACATGCTTCAAGGCCTGCCTATATAGTGAAACCCTGCCTGTCTCAAGAAAATGGAAAAAATAAATATTTTAGATTTCAGCTGTACCGTAAAAATAAAAAGTCAGAGTGACCTGGAGGAGTACTTTAAAATCAGTAATTAAAAAAAAAAAAAAAAAACTTTCTGAGGAAATGTTTGAGGGGTTCCTGTATTCAACAATGGTTCTCAAACTGCAGTGTGCATCAGCCAACCTAGAAGACTAGAAGACTTGCTAAAACTGCTGATCAAAAAGGCTGGAATGTAGCCCAAGTGTTGCATTTCTAACAAGGTAGCAAATACTAATGGTGTCAACACTGGTCTAAGAACTACACTTCTTAGAACCATCAATCTAGAGAGAATAGCAAAAGCTGGGGGTGGTGGCACATGCTTGTAATCCCATCACTTGGAGGCTGAAGCAGGAGAACTGCTGAGTGTCTGAGGCCACTGTGGGCTACACAATGAGTGCAAAGCTAGCCTCAAATATACAGCAAGACCATGTCTCAAAAAAAAAAGAAAAAAGAAAAAAAGAGGGAGAGCGCCAACAGCAAGATCATGTGGGTTAAGTTTATAAAAGCAGGTAAAAATTTTTAAAAGCCAGTTAGGAAAGAAAGGGTACTAATCTTTTCTTCAGAATCAATTGAGGAAGGTAGTGAATTAAACTACCAGTTATAGTTTGCCAGACGAGAGAAGATAAAAATCACAGTTGTTCAATAATACTCTACATTTTTGGAGCATTTCAACTATAAAGCATTTTCATATTCATCACTTATCTGACTTAGTGAGATATAAATGAATGGTTACTAGCTTCATTATAAAGAAACTAAGGAAAGCCAAGCATAGCTGTATATGTCTAGAACCCCAGTACTCTGGGAGGCTGAGGCAGGAAGATAGGAAATTTGAGCCCAGCCTGGGAGACTTAGTGACTTGACAAGACTGTCAAAATAAAAAATAAAAAACATCCAAGATGTGGCTCAGTGCAAGGACCCTGGTTCAACTCCCACTGCCACATACACACAGAAAGTAAAACAAATTGAGTGGTAAAACTATGTCCCCGAAGTCCAATGTGCTTTCCAGCACAGCTCTAGGTCACCTTCCACACCATGCCGAGGACTGAACCAAGGCCAGGGCATATGTTAGCTAAGTGCTCTACCACTAAGCTACACCTCTAGCCCTTTTATTTTGAGACAAGTTCTCATTATGCCACCTTGCCCAGCTCTCTTGGTCCCATTTTTTAAAAAACAAAGCAAAAAAATAAAAAATAAAAAAATAAAAATAAATAAATAAATAAAAAACAAAGCAAAGGGTACATATAGGAGTTACTGCCAAAATATTCCCTAGATTCCCTACCTAAAAACATAGTACATTACACACTCAAATTTGCTTTAGTGTCTAGAAAGCAATATTAAGATTGACAGTGTTTATTCTATTCCACTTATTTATTCTAGTTCAAAACAAAAAAAAGATTTTTTTTTTTTTGGAGACAGGGTTTTGCTATGTAGTTCAGGCTGGCAGAAAGAAGTCAGTTCTTTCACTCTGCAGCCCAGGCCGTCTCAAACTTGAGGCAATCCTCCTGCCTCACCCTCCTGAGTGCTGGGATTACAGGTGTGCACCACTATACCCGGCTTAAAAGATACAGAACTGAAAAGGGAATTTATAGATTATTTTTCTCTCCTACGTAAATTTCAGAAAGGCAATTTTATAGTCTCAATCTCTTAGTCACATCAAACACTGTTTGCATCCTGAGGTCCCTCTAAATCTCTTGCTTAGGGCTGGGGAATTAGCTCAGTGGCACAGCCCCTGCCTGGCAAGTGCAAGGTCGTGAGTTCGATTCCCAGTACCAGAACCCCCCCCAAAATAAAAATAAATCTCTTACTTAATTCAGGTTTTCACAAGAACCCTGAATCTCATGCAGGGAGCCATAAATAGTTATCCTGTACACATCCATTATCAGTAAGTATCTTCTCCATCAATCAAAATCTTTTTACCCCACACAGGGAACTGAACTCAGACTTGGCACTGAGCTATATCCCAGACCCCCGACTTATTTATTTATTTATTAATTAACTTTTGAGACAGGGTCTACTAAATTGCCCAGGCTAGGTTGGGCTGGAATTTGCATGCCTCCTTTCTGAACTTCTTAGGGTCCTGGGATTACAAGCAGGTACCATCACTCCCAGATGAAAACTTGTTGTAACATCCTACCTCCATGTTCCAATAATACATCAAAATCAAAACAGCCAGAATTAAAACCATTGTACCTCCCTCCACCACACACACCTGCTTTTGTACTTCTGTACCTATTTTTTCTTTTTGTTGTTTCTGCATCGGAGAATCACACCCAAGGCCTCGCACATGCTAGGCAAGCATTCTACCATTGAGCTATATCCCTAAGCTTGTGCCATAATTCTTTATCTGCATTAACTTTTGCCCCTACTTCACACATATGAAAATTGAGACTAAGAATAATTTGTCCAAGTTATAAATGAATAGTAGCAGAAACAACCAAACTCAATGTTTCACAAAGGCCCTGTCATTTCCCACACTGAAACACTTCTTTCTGTAACACCTGCTATGAGCCCTTTACTACCCATTCCAAATGATAATTTCTCACCTAGATTACTGCCAAGATTCTCCTAACTGGTCTCCCTTCATTCCTCAAGTGCTTCACATGATCTTTCTGGATCACAAATCTGATCCTTTTATCCTCCTTATACAAAAGCCCTTCCAGAAGGCCCACTAGTCCACACTACACTCTACAAAATAAATCCCAAACCTTTAGTACAGATCCACAATCCCTTCCCTACAGTTCCAAAACTCAAAAGCTTTGAAATTTTAGTTAAGTCTGCAGTAAAACCCACCTGAGCTGCACGAGGCTATAATCATCCATTATCCCATTGTGACATTCATATGTTTCAGTTTCAGAATTAATGTGTTCGATGAGATGAAAACCCAAACCCCACTAGAGAACTATGTAAGGAGACCTTACTAGGAAAAACAAAATTTCAAGACACTATATATTCTGAAACCCAAAACACATCTAGACCCAAAGGTTTCAGACAAGACATTCTGATCCCTTGTTTACTGTGCCCATCGATCCAATGCAACTTCCACCAATTACTTTCCATATATCCTCTGTTTGCAGAGATGTAAAAGATGCCTTGTACCTCTCTTTTTGGGGGCTGGGCAGGATCTCACTATGCCGTCCAGACTGGTCTTGAGCTCAATTCGTAGCCCAGGCTGGTCTTGAACTCGCAATGATCTTCCTGCCTCAGCCTCCTGAGTGCTGTGATTACAGGCGTGCACCACCAAGCCCGGCTTGCCCTGTATCCTGAATGCCCTCCAAACCAGTAAAGTACTCACCCTTCAAGAAACCGCTCCAGGATTTCCCTTACTGTGAAGTTTCCTTGACCTTCCCTCCACTGTACCACAATCATGGTAGTATCTACCTCAACTATTGCGTGTTAGATATCTATTAGACCATGAATGAGATCCTCATTGTCGAGTACAGTATTGTACTGCCCTGAACACTACGGGCTCATTAACGGAACAAACCAAATACATGCCCACGTCTCCCTAACTTCCATTCCCCTTCAAAGTTCATTTCTCCTTCATCCTCAAATCTTACAATTTTCCCTAAGCAGCCAGGCCCCTCACAGCTATTATCACTTCCCGAGTTCCTCCTTCCCAAATGTCATCTTAGAATTATTTTGTAACAGGCGCCTTCTTTGGGTCTCAAGCTCTCCACTGTCTTTCGTCTACCTCCATTTAATCTGTAGTCTCTCCCTCGGCCGGGAACAGGCCAATTCCCCTGCCTCCAGACCCGTATCTCTTACTCTCTCAACAAGCCCTCTCCTGGTCCAGGTCCTCTACCCCATACTTCTCCAAACGGGTCTCCCAGACCCCTACTCCTCGCCCGGCCGGGTCCCCCGGCTCCAAAACCGGCGCTAGGCCGTACCCGCACCCACAAGCTCCGTCGCAGCCAGCGTCCCCTCCCCCAGCCCTCGCGGCCGGTACCCCTCCCTCCACCCTGCCGTGTCGCCCGCGGTCCAGTTTCTCCCAAACTGCCCCAGGGGCCGTGTCCTGCGCCTCGCACACCCCAGGAGACCGCGCCGGCGCAAGAAGCCGCGGGCCCCGGCACCTCCGTCTCCGCACCCTCCCGGTTTGGCAAGCCCTCCGCGGCCCAGACGTCGGGCAGGCCTGCGGCTCACCTTGATGGACGTCGCCGTTGCTGCTCCCCGGGATGGGCAAGCTGAGCTGGCGCTCGGGCTCCGGCAGGCAGCGCAGGCAGAAGGAGTGCAGGCAGGGCAGCAGCTTGGGCTCCGCCTCGCGCCGGCTCTGCAAGCTCTGCTGACACACAGCGCAGGTGTCCAGGAGCGAGGCTGGCGGCCCCAGGGGCGGCCCCGACGAGGGACCCGGGGCGGGAGCCGACGCCGGGGCCGGGGCGGGCGTCG